AAATACACTTTCCCTGGTGTAATAGGGGCAATTGATTGTTGTCATGTAGCAATTGTATCACCATCTGTAGAGGATATCAATTATCCAGAACATATATATGTTAATAGAAAAGGATATCACTCTCTTAATGTTCAATTGGTAAATATTGCATTACTTATCTAACAAAATATATCTAGCAATTAAAAAGTTACTTTTAATATTTATTGTATTGTTATATCAAATTAATAATTCATTGCTGAAAATGAATTATGCTATGAGCATATGCAATAAGGAATCAACCAACATTTTTTATTTTGATTCAGAATATCACAAAATATCATCTTACAAGAAAATGCTGGTTGATTCCTTATTGCATATGTGGATCCAATATTGATATGCATTTAATTTTATGATACACTAAGAACATTTATATAGAATTAATACATAATCTCATTCAATATACTTTTTTTCAGATATGTGATGCAAACATGTACATAATGAATGTAAATGCTCGTTTTCCTGGTAGTGTCCATGATGCATTTATATGGAAAAATTCCAATGTTAGAAAAGCCTTTCAGAGATGGCATAACTGCAACAGAAATGCACATACTTGGCTTTTAGGTAATGATAAATATATTATCATAGTTGTTAACAAGTCTCTGTTTAAATTTCCAGATACTTTATAATTTGTAGGCAGTATTTACAAATCATAATTAGCTTATCAAATTACGTATTGTATTTTCTAGGTGACAGTGGATACCCTTTGGAGCCGTGGTTGTTGACTCCACTTCGTACAACCAATACTCGAGCTGAAGTAAAATATAATAATTGTCTCACTGCAACTCGAAGTATAATAGAACAATGTAATGGACTCTTGAAAAATAGATGGAGATGTTTGTTGAAACATAGGGTCTTACACTATCATCCAGAGACAGCTTCAAATGTTATAATTGCATGTGTTGTGCTTCACAACATTTCCATTAAAAATAATATTGCTTTGGAGGATGATGATATATTGCAACCAGAAGACCAGTTACCGCAGATCATACCATCAACAGAATTTGAAAATACATCAAATGATATACTTTTTAATGAAACTAGAAGGATTCAACAACAACTAATAAGCTTGTGTTTTTCTTAAAAATAATTTTAATGATATATATATCATTAAAAAATTGTATGTATATATTGGATATACTAATAAATTGTGTGTGTATATATATATACATGTCTGTTAAGAGCCTGCCTTTTTCAAGAATATTCAGATATAAAGAACAGAAAAATCAGTACTTTAAAATAATAATTTATTTATTTTCAAATTAAATTTTTTTTCAATATATACATAAAAATATTACAAAGAATTTTCAGATAATAAATTTACAATGCTATTCAGTGCTGTAGCAATTTTTTTAAGAGAGTCTTTATTTTCCTCAGCTATGGAAAGTTCCTTCTCCCTTAATTCTAGTTTTTTTTTCTTTAATTTAATTTTTTCTTCTTCCAGTTGTATAAATGATTCTGTTCTTTTCTTTGCTTCATTTAAATCATCTTCATTGGAATTGTTTTTTCTTTTTCTTCCTTTAGCTAAAAAACATAAATTCATATGGAAAACTTAGTCTTTGTACATGCTAACTATAAAATTAATTCTTTTACACTAAATCTTATAACTTTGTATATTAATATGACTTAATACTACATATGCAGTTCTTTTATGACAGATTCTATAAATTCAGTTCTTATAATTAATGCTACAGTTGCTTTAATGAAGTAATTTGAAAATATTTTAAAAATTTACTTACACTGACTGGCTTCTTTTGTTAAATCTATATATTCATTATCTGTTAGATAAATTGAAAACATTTGAAAACCATAACAAATTTTTGTTATAATTATTTTGTATATGAGATTATTTTGATGCATACTAACCCTGTTCAGAAGAAGAAATATCTACAGAATTTACTCCTGTTGCAGAGAGATTTTCAATTCCTGGCAGTATAGATTCCTATTATAATAAATTACATTTTTAAAATATAAACAGAGATATTAATAGTACTGATGGAAATTTCAAAACTTATTATTAATACTCTCCATTATATACAGAAAAATAATGGAAGTATAACATTTTTTAAAACACGTTAGTCTTTATTCATTTTAAATTTAAAGATTATTATTCACCTCAGTCTGCAATAGATTTGAAAACTCTTCAACTTCGGATTCCACAGTGTTTTGTTGCCCCAAAACCACTGTGTCACCCATTAAAGATATGATCCTTTCTTGTAATGAAGATAGCTTTTCACTAGATTCTCTACCACCCCCAGTCTTTTCTCTGCTGTTTCTTATTCTTGACGCCTTCTCTTTTGCATTTCTCTTCATGTCAAGCCAGCACTAATAAAAAAATTTTATTTGATAAAATTATACAGCAAATTTTTCCAAAACTAAAAAGAAGTATAATTCATAGAAAAAGAGAATGAATTAAAATGATAGTAAATTATATGTATAAATTAATAAGAGCATAGACACTATATTAAGATTATTTATTAATTAATCAGAAGTGTTAAGTTTGTTGAACAATTTAAGAAACAGATCAAGGAAGAAAACTGAAGAAAGGATTAAATTAAAATACTTACTTTTTTCCATTCCACAATGGATTTTTTTGCTCCAAAGCACGCATTTAATTTTTCAACCAACTCGCTCCACATATGTAATTGTTTTTTCCTAGTAAATTCATTGTCAAATTTTCCAGAGTTCAATTTTTTGTTATTTTCAATATATGTGACTAATATCTCTTTCTGTTCGTCACTGATTTTTTTAAATAAAGTATTGGAGGTCTCCATTTTCTTTGTCTTCTTTGTCGCTATAATAAAAGTAACTGCAACACGTGCAAACTAAGGCGCCTTAGTGTAAACTAGTTTACGTTTATTTGTTTACAACTTGTTACACTCAAATTGATTGGTCGAATAAGTATAGTCGCAAACCCAGATGCTTTGTAAATAATCCCATCATGCTTCACGACAAACGGGACCAAGTGAGTATGACGTATTTCCGCTCGCCTTTCGAGTTCGCTCGATGGGTCTAACTCGAGACTACCGATTATGTGAGTCACAGTAACACGAGTGAGTTCGATGACGTCAATTCGAGTACAACACGAAAAACTCGAGACTAAGGGCCCGGGTTGACGTTGTAAACGAATAGGTGTTGATGTTTTTACTTTTCTGTTCCTATCCGTTGTTTATATGTGTTCGGGATTTGTAATCGTTATACCTGTTTATGCATTTATAATTATCCTTCAAAGTTTCCTCTGTATCTCGTCTTCAAAGGACTAGACATACAGAAGCTCAAAGCTTCCATATAAAATAGTAAATAAGTTGATTTTGCGATATGAATTGAAACTATAAATTTTAAGTAAATTAAATCTTTCGAATAACGTTTATCTAATAGCGCATATCTTGCTGTTATCAATTTTATTTCACAATATGGCTACGTCATGTTGTGAAAATAAATCGATAAGAGTAAGACGTACTCTGCTTTAGAAATCCTTACAACTAAAACATTGATAAATTTAATTTTTTTATATTTTTATCTATTCAAATTTAATTACGGTTACATTCTGAATTCAACAACTGCTGCAACTTCTGTTGAACAATGAATTTCTAGTTAAATTGAGTGGTTGGTAGACTTACAATATCTTTCAATTGCATATAAATTATTATTTTTTGGAAAATAAAGCTAGAGCTAACAGTAACAAGTGATCACGGCGTAGTTTTTTACTGTTAGCGTGTGTATTAATAACATAAGGCACGCCTCTATATTTACTTTTGTGTACGTGCTGCTTACGAACACCTTAAGTAATAGCGCTGCTGTAGATGTTCAGCAGAATGTACTCAAGTGCTTCGGAATAGTTGTCCGCTTAAGTTTATTATTGAAAAACCTGCATTAGATATATTAAATTTAAATAATATTAAATTTATATTAAAATATAAATTAAAATA